TTTTTTTTTTTTTTTTTTTCATTTATCTCTTTCTCAAATCAAATATTATCCTACAAAAGCTATATTATTTGTTCTCATTTTCTAAACTTCATATTTTTTAATAATATTTTATAAGTAAATATCTTTTTTTATAATATTCAAAGTTTCTACGATCTTTTGTTGAGTAAAACTTTAAAATTTTAGTAACTATAACAAAGATTTGAATCAAACTTATCTTTTTCACCGGAGAAGTAGTGTTGATATATGTTTTAAAAATTCTAGTCTCTTCGTTTGAGATTTTAAGTTTTAACAAATCAGAATTTATTTCATATGATGTTTTAAAAGTTCTTAAACAAACTAGGAATTGAATTTGCTCATGTACTTAAATTTGATTGGACTTCTTAGAAGTTAGAACATACTGTAATTTGAAAGACAAAATTATACAAGTGAAATTTCATATCAAATCTCATATTTATAATGATTGTAATCAGATAGGAAAATTAAGGGTGGAATTTTATACTGGAGAACCGAACCAAAAATAACCGATTCGGTCCGTTTATTCGAAAAAAAAAATATTTGTTTCTGTTTCGGTTATTTTTTGCACATTTCGGTTCCGGTTCCCAATTCCTTTCCAAGTGTAAGTGCATTAACCGAAGAACCGATTATACATATGAACTATACATGTTTTATATGCTTATTATATGTTTGAACGGTTTCAGTTCTTGATATGTAATGTTTGGTTTTTCATTTTTGCATTTCGGTTCTCGGTTTTTCACGATACTTATAGTCTGTGACTTGTAATTTTTTGACCGGTTATTGTCTCAAAACTGCTTATTGTTGATTATTTTTTATTATTCAGTTACACGAAGAATTGGAAAAACCAAACTGTTATAACCCAGCTCATTTCTTTTTCGATTCCTGCAAATATTTATGTGTTAACCGAACTGTTATAACTAGACATGGTCATTGGCCGAAACCGACCCGTGGCCCGACCCGTGAACCGGTACCGGCCCGGCCCGAACCGGCGAACCGAAACCGTAGGGCCGCGGTTCGGTCCCGGTTCAATTTTTTTATTTTGTCCCGCCGGGTCGGGCCGGACCGAGCCAAATACTTTGTTTTTCTCAAAGGCCGTACCAGCCCGTGAACCGGCTCTTGGTTCTTATCAGGCCGGACGCGGTCCGGGTGTTGGAGAGCCGCCCGGCGGGCCGGGCCAGGCCTTGGCCCGGCACCTGGTCACGTCTCGACTTATAACCCAAGCCTAGAAAATATGTAAAAAAAATACTCAAATTCTAAAAAAAAATTAAAATATCAGTTATAATTATCAAAACGAATACACTGACTAATTAACCGGAGAACTAAATTTTCCTGACGTCAGTACTGACCGACGTCACCGATCAAATTATCAATAATTAGTCAGCCCCAAGAAGCTTACGTCATCACTGAGCGTGTCAAAGGCTGACCACCAGAAGGCCAAAGGGTAATATCGTCAATTCACACCAACACCAACAACGACACGCCACGCCACTGGAATTGTAGAAACCCAACGTAGTAAGTTAAAAAACCGACCCTTTCATTCTCTTGCCCCTTGAAACCTATAAAACCAGTTGCTCGATAAAACGGACCGCAATCATTATCAGAATTAAAAAATAAAAATAAAAATAAAAATAAAAAACCAGTGGCGGTTGTCGTTTCTTCTTTGGGGGTTTTTATTAACTTTTTATAGGAGTACTATTTTTGTAGCTTGTTATATTTAATTAGTCATCATGTTTTTATTGTGATTTGATAAGCACGTAGTATTAAATAATTCCCCTTTCCCCAAGAAACCTATTCCTCCCTGTTTTAGGTTTTCCTTCCTTCCTCAAACACACACAGTATATATATATTGGGTCAGATTTATTACAAACAAATTACACAGCAAAAACAGTAGCACCCTCAAATACATACCAATTTCAATCGATTTTTTTTTTTTTTTGGGTTTTTCTTCTGTAAAGATGTATTCTTTAAATTAAGTTCCTCACAGAGCTTCCAGTTTCCCTCTTCCTCCTGTATAATTTTGTCCTGTAATTTGATATATACTTTGATTTATTCCTTCCTTCTTTTTGTCCTTTTCAGTTCTTCAAGATGAATTATTGAGCTATCTATTCTTTTTAAGGGAGACCCTTTCTTCAAAATCGAGTCTTGAAATTGTTCTTGCTCCTATAATCCCAACAGAGCAATTTTTATTATTTATTTTTGACAAAAATCAGAGTTGCTGGGAGTTTCTTGTTTGTGGGGGCTCCAAGTAATTAATTTTTTTCTCCCCTTTTAGAACTTTTTTTTTTTAAATTTATTTCTTGCCCTCCAAGTTTACAACTTGTCTTCTCAGCCATGGTCCCATTTGGTAACCATCAAGAAAATTCAAACCTTTCAGCTCAGAATCTTGCACCTTTACATACTAATAATAACCCTCACGACTCCAACTCCGATATCGATCAAGATTCTTGCCCGTCCGATTGCGAAAGCTCGATTTCCGAGCCCGAAAGCGAGCAACCGCAGTTTCGCGGGCCGGAGGACGATTTTGTTACAATTCATAAAGGGGAGATGATTTACGAGACGATCGCGAAGAAGCTTGTGTCGAGCTTGAGCTCTCGTGGGCTCGACCCGCGGGTCGAGTCCATTCATAGGAACAGATTTTCGAGCATCAATGGCCGAGCCCGAGTCGAGTCTTTTGGCGTGTACACGAGGGCCGTGCAAACGAGGTGTGGAGGCAATGCGAATTTGACGTATGCTTGGTTTGGAGCTTCGAAGAATGAGATTGATATGATTATTGATTATGGTTTTGGGCTTCCCAAAAGTGGGCTGACACATGGGCATGGAGTTCATCTCTGTTCAATAAATCATCCTATTGAAAGGTGCAATCTTCTTTTCACCATCCAACTTTTTTTTTTCGATTCTTGAACGTGGGTGCATAAATTTCCCTCATAGCTTATGATCTATAGCTGAAAAACTAGTTTATATGACTTATAGCTGAAAAACTAGTTTAGATGATGGAAGTGTTTGGTAAAATTACTCAATAAAAATTTTAATGAGCTTATTTAAAAAGCTACCCAAAAAAAGCTTATAAACGAAGTTGATTTCAATACAAGAAACTTATAAGCTCTTATTTGGTTAGTATACTTGGCCAAAGTCACCTAATGTATGTTACTTGTGTTCTTTGTGATTTGAATTTGCCTGTGCAACTAATGTATATCGACCGGTTTTGTAGTGTTCGAATTGTGTGCATAAGTTTTTCTGCTTTATATGAAGTTACCTAATGTATGTTAGTTGTGTTCTTTGTGATTTGAATTTGCTTGTGCAACTAATGTAAATTGATCGGTTGTGTAGTGTTCAAATTGTGTGCATATGTTTTTCTTTTTTATATGAAGCCACAAGTCACCCAATGTATGTTGCTTATTTCCTTGTGATTTGAATTTGCTTGTGCAACCAATGTAAATCGACCGGTTTTGTGGTGTTCAAAGTGTGTGCATAAGTTTCTCTCCTTTATATGAAGTCACCAAATTAATTTATGTTACTTATTTCCTTGGTGATTTGAATTCGATTGTGCAACTAATGTAAATCGACCGGTTAATGTATTGTTCAAAGGGTGTGCATAAAATTTTCGCCTTTATATGAAGTCATCTAATTAATGTTTGTTACTTGTGTTCCTTGTGATTCGAATTCGCTCGTGCACGGTTAATGTAGCGTTCTATCCACTTCACCTGACGAAAATGGCCTACGGCACATACTGCTTTGCCGTGTAATATTGGGGAAAACCGAGGTCATATGTCCCGGCTCGCAACAAAACAATCCGAGCTCCGAAGAGTTTGATTCGGGGGTCGATAATATAGAGACCCCACAAAAGTATATCGTGTGGACTTCGCGTATGAACACTCACATCTTGCCTGAATTCTTAGTCAGTTTCAGAACATTATCCTCTAACTCAAGAGGTAAAGATTACTAGATTAGTGTCCTAAATATATTATTGTAATTATTATTATCTAAGTTTCGTTATAATCTTTTATGCGAATTGAAGCCTTATGTTTGTTTTATCGAATGTGGCTTTTTGCAGGATCTCGACCAAATTCGAACCGGATGCCTTTTCCAACTTTGATTAATGTTCTTAGAAAGTACTTACCTTTGGATGCAGTTGACTTAATCAGAATTCATCACAGAGATTTCAGGGTACAATATTTTATATTATTAGATTTAGTTATGGTCTGATTTGAGGGCTATTCATATTATTTAGTGATGTTCTGACTAGATTTATTTTTTCTTATACTGCACAGAATCAGAAAATAACAAGAGCCGAATTGGTTAGACGCGTGAGACATATTGCTGGAGACAAGTTGTTGATAAAGATCATGAAATCTTGCGAACGAAAGGTACGTATTATTTGTATTTGTGCGTGTGCAAAAATAATATTACCAGTCCATATTTTAGATTCTGACTTGCTAATTTTTCATGTGTTTCTGCAGATGAAAACACCATTGAGCAGCTCCTCAACCAGTTTGTGCAAGTGAAGGGAAAGGATTTGAATATTTTGATTAGCTGATATGTCTGTCTATTGGATTTGAAAAGTTCATTACATGTAAATTTTCTGCAAGGCACTTTTACCCTGCGGAAAATAGAAGCCATTTTCTAATGTTTTCCTTTTTCGTTCAAAGCTCATGTGAATCGTTCATATTTACCGTACCGAACCGAACTGAATTATTCAGTTTCCAAAATGTGAATCACCAAAACCGAATCGATATGTGTTGGCTACCGAACTACAGTAGTTGTTTTGTTTTTTGATATTTCATTTGTTCTTATGGTTGATTATGAAATTTGCCATCAAATTTATGTTCAAGTTCATGAAGATCAAGTGATATCTAACTCCCCCGGCCCATCCTATTTATCTACCTTTTCTTCTCTAGAGTTCTGATCGGTTCGGTTCAGTAAAACCAACCGTTTAATAATTATTTATTGGTCTCAAATAAAAAGATGTATTGTTTTGAAAAATTATATTACCAAAATATTACTCTCTCTTATTCATAATATTTGTCGCTTTGAGAAGTTGCACAGTTTTTAAGAATATTTTTTTTGTCAATAATAACCCTCATTAATGAGGATAGAGATGAATGCTTTGAGAAAAAATGAAGAGTGAATATGATGAGAAAAGTTGAAGAGTGAATATGGATATACGTAGTGTATTCATTAGGTAAATGAGGGTAATAATGAAAAAATATGTACAAAATATCCAAAACGACATTTATTTTGTTAATAGTTGATAATGCTAAAATGACATTTAAAACAATAGGAGGTAGTATATAGTTTGGTAATTGTAGGTTATGATTCGACTCGATTTTTTTTTTTT